AGGCGGAAGTGACCAATGGATTGGAGTTACCAGGGAAGCCCAGTAAGGGAATAGTGCTGCTTTCCACAATGGACAAATACCTGGACGGACTGGTTTTCTTTCACACTGGAACCTGGTAAAAATGTTCATCTAAGACTGCATCCCAGCATCCATATATTCGATCTTCACCACCATGGAAATGGTGGTGATACTGGAATTGTCAGGCCTAGTCTCCCAGCCAGGAACAGATCCCAGGCTGCAGGGCAGCCCTGAGCCCCAGCCACTAGACCCCACGGGTTGGTGTCTCACGAAGTCGCAGCAGGAACTTCGCAGACTCTCAGGCAAGCAAGCGAGAAGAGGCAGGTTTGTTTTGAGAAAGAAAAACTTTATTGAGGAGAAAAAGAGCAGAAATAAAGTGGGACTCCCAGGCCAGGAAACCAGGCCTGGGAGGGGCAAGGAAGCCAAAGTGGAGTCGTGTCTCAGGGAATATAGACCTCCTTTCCCTCATTATTCTAAAGCTCCACCAGTCTCTCTGTGATTGGTTAGTTCTCGCTGTCTCACTTAATTTGCTACTGAGTGGGGGATCTTCACATTCCTTATCTAACAGCTTTCTCTTTCCCCATTTGTTGCATCTTTATCTTTATGGCCCAGTCCTCTGGATGGGCATCCCTGCATTGAAGTTAAACAGCTGCCCTTCTAATGTGTCCATAAATTAAACCACTCTCCATTTCTCCAATCTCTGCCTCCCTTTACCACCTGAAGGAAACCAGGACCAGCGTTAACAATGTTGTCCTTGGTCCTGGGATGTTTGTTTTTCCTAGTGGAATGGGTTACTTTCCCTTGGTTGTCCTTATCTCTGAAGCCTCCCTAAATTCTTCCGAGGTGCCCTCCTGCACTGTCCCTGAAAATGCCTAATAACCCTAGCTTGCCCTGTGTCTCAGTGGCATAAAGTGAAAGGGGGGAATCATTAGGGGGAAAAGGATGTCCTAAAGCTAATTCCATACAGGCTTTGTGGACTCCACCCCCACCCCAGGCCAAAGCCAAAGACACTGGGAACTCCAAATCCCATCACCACCAAAGGGAAGGTGGCTGGGACCTGAGGGTGGGTTTAAGCAGCCAGGTTGGTATAAAGCCAGACACGTGGGCTTTGGAGGGGTCCCCCTGGTCTCCGCCAGCTAGCAGCGTCCAGACAGCTCTGAGAGTGCCTTTGGGTTTCCAGGTCGGCGGATTGGGTAGGACGCATTAAAGACTTTATTTCCCTATTTTCTCCCTGAGTTGTACATTTTCCTTATTTCCTTTTCCCTTGTAAATAAACCTTTAATTAAGCTTTTGTGTGTGCCTGTAGTGGAGTATTAATAAGTCCCTTGTAAGCGCGCGGGTGAGGACCCACAGCCAGGCAGCCCGTTCAATATCGGGGCTGCCTTATAACATGCAAGTCCCTGCTCCGCTCACGTGGCATGAGAGGCAGCGAGGGCCCGTTCTCCCGCAGGGAGGGTGCCCCGGGTCGTGTACCAGTGGCTGTTAAGCCTTTGTGAGCTTGAGGGGTTCCTGGCTTCCACTTGCATGGGGAGAGGTAGACAGAGAGTGAAGGAGAGGGAGAGTGGAGGGTTTGGGACCGGGCAAGATCCGCACGGGGGATCGAACCCTGTTCCCGGCCAGTGCACCAGATGAAAGGTTCAGAGCGGTAAAGAAAAGGAGAGCCAGGCTAAATTTCTCAAAGGAAGGGAAAATTTATTGCGCCTGGGTGGACCTCAGGGACCCAAGTTGGGGGTCCGTGAAGCCTCGCACATAGTTAGGGGGAAGCAGGCTTTTATAGGGTGAGGAGAGATCAGAGGGGAGACTGGGTTTGTAGGGCATGGCAAAGATTTGTGGGGGAGGAGGGGGAAGGTTCATTTTTTGAATCCTCTAGGCAGGCTTCCCCTTTCCTGTTCCCAGGTGGGCTTCCTGGTGGGTTTTTGCATTCAGGCCTCCTGCATGGACCTTTCAGTAGTGAAATAATAGATAACTTAAAAAAAAAAATCATACAATTGTTAGATTATCCTTACATTTACAGAAAGTTATTTTCTTAAAAATGCTTTGTTAGCATACATTGGTTATTAATATTCTAAAGTAAAGAAGTAATAATGCCAGGGACCACCCTCAGCAAACTGTCCTGTGAGGGGTTCCTGTAAGGATGAGAGGGCATGGACAAATCTGAGGGATTAGGGGGGGGGGAGTGAGGAGATGCAAACACTTGATCAGGGCGCAGACATCATCCTGCTGAGGGTCTCAGCAGCCCTTTATTTATACCTTACAAGCAAACCCAGAGTACACAAGCATATGTATTAGAGCAGGAAGATAACAATCATCACATCTTCCTCTAGAACAGCCAGGGGTTTATTTGCCCTCCAGCAGAGGTTGTAACATTCTTTATTTTGAAGAAGGCACAGTTGCTAAACAAAAGTGTTCTTAGAATAGCATTTATCTTAAACAATCATTTTATTACTAGCAAAAACTTATGTGACTGAAAGAAACAAGTCTATGTTTACCATGGTGAAGGATTAACTAAGGGCTGGGGAAACAAAGGACAGGAAGTTACCTGGGGGAAGGGAGACAGAGGGATTTTTTCTGACTAACCTATAAAGTTTAGACTCACATATAACCATATGATTAAGGCAAAAAACACAAGGCTTTTATATAGAAATCATCATCTAATAGTATATTGTTTTAATAAGATACTGATTCAGTATTAAGGAACCAAGGGCCTGGAGGGCGTCAATGCCAGACAAGCCCCACTGACTCTACCCTAGCCCCCAGCTCTCAATTAAGGGAGGAATTCTCCTAATCTAACAGAAGAGTTTTTCTACCTATTACTGCTATACTTATTTAGTCAGCCTAGTTTCTGTATCTAACTTAAAGATCAAGGGAAAATTCCTTTTTTTGTAAGATTGCTGATTGTTGTTTTAAGGAACTAAAATATTTCATCGGAGGCAGGGCCAGAGATGGTTATACCTTTTGGTTCTCAGAATGGTTAATAAGTGACATATCAGTAGTGGTAATGTTATAGGACAGGGACAGGGGCAGCCCAAACCCCGCAAACCTGCCTATTCTAAATGGGTTCTGCCATCTGCCGCATCAACACAAAACATATGAGACTTTAATGGGAAGGAACTTTAATACAATTAGGAAACAATACAGGAAAGGCAAAGAATATAGTTTCTAAATCAAAACCCAAAGTTACCTGTCCCCTCGTGGGTAAAACTCCATCCAAATGGGATTGGCCCAGAGAAAGGCCCCAAAGCCTGCCACAAGTCTAAAGCACCTTCCAGTGGGGACCCACAGAAAAGGGTCAGAAACAACCAGACAAGCCCGGAAGGAAAAGAGCAAAATCAACATCAAGATAAAAGCTGCCATTGTCACCTCCCCACGGGTCTCACCCACATCTGTGTCACCCAGTCCACGACCAAAGGACAAGCGCAGTTTCTTCACGTGTCTCTAGGCTCCATGTGCCTCCCCCAGGTCTCCTTCTGACTCCATCCTGCTTCCTTCCTCAGTCTCTTCTGCAGCTTCTCCTCTCCCTGCTCAGCTCCACCTTCTCTTGGGCAGGGAACCTCCCCCTTTCCTGGGGACCACCCTGTTACAGTAACATCGACTATTTCCAGGTGCATTATTTGTGCTGTCAAGGTTATTAGCTTAACCAGTCACAAAATTGTTGTTGGCTTACTCTTGAATGCATACTCCAACAGCTACCATACCCATTGTCACTGAAAGGGAACTGTTAAGGAAAAGGGAATCTTTCCCTGTAAAGAGCCATAGACATGGAAATGTCAGTAAAAGACAAGCTTGCTTCCTTAACAAGCATATCTAAATAAGGCCTGGCAGCCTGCTAGGCTGGTTGTTCTTCTGGGCCAGTCTCAAAGATCTGAGTCCTTCCCCTTTTCCTGTGTCAAGAATTTGTATGCTAACTAACCAATGTTATCAATAAATCATGCAGTGCCATTTGCTGTCCAATTGGTTATTCAGTAATTGATCAAACAGCATTTGCAGTTTTACTTTTAAATGCATATTTTAACAATGGTAGACACTAGCCATAAACAAAGGAGAATCTAGCAGGGTCAGCTAGAGATTCCTGACTTTTCAGGAATCTGCCCCATGCCTGGACTTTTGTCAGACGACAGGAGTAGCATGGCTCCCAGCATAATAACGTCTTTTTGAAAGGTATTATTCTAGTAAAGTAAATATTTAAAGCTATAACCCACGTAAAAAAAATTGTACATGGGATCCGTAATAATTTGTGAGACTGTGGAGACATCCTGAAAGAAAAATGTTTGAGAATCGCTGACCCAATTCCTGGGCCTGGATTCAGGGAGGCAACAGTGTCACAAAGGTCTTGGTGCAGGAGAGGAGGGGTGTCGGGGTGTGGCTCTCAAGGTCTCAGTCCCCAGAGCACTGTCTGCGGCTGGGAGGTTACTGTTGGGGCTTCCTCATCTACCCGGTTTCATCTCTCTCAATCTGCGTCGGGTCCTCCTGCCTGGATACTGGTGAGTCAGCCCAGGGCTCACTCCCCATTGCCTGGAGGTCTCCAGAGCAGCCAATCAGCAGCCCCGCGGCTCCCGTTCCAAAGCCCTCGCCCGCCCGCCGGGACTCCGTCTCCCCAGCCCGGGTGGAGGCGCATCCTGGGGGATGGGGGGCGCAGCCCTCCTGCTCCTGCTCGCGGGGGCCGCGGCCCCCAGGGAGACCCGGGCGGGTGAGTGCGGGTCGGGAGGGGACAGGGCACTCCCAGAGGCGGGAGCGAGGGCGTGGGCGGGCGTGGGAAAGGCGCGACCTAGTTGTCCCCCCACCTCGGCCCCGCCCCGTCCTGGCCCCTTTCTGTCCCCCCGAGACCCCAGCCTCCTCTGGCCCCCCGAGTCCCGGCCATTTTCGTCCCGCAGCCGCTTTTCGGTCTCACTCGTCTTTCACCCGCTTTCTGTCTCCTGGGCGCCCCCCTGGGACTCGAGCCCCCGAAGGGGAGAAGAATAGCCCGGGTCTCCCCTCCCGCCCCCAGGCCCCCACTCCCTGAGGTTTTTCTCCACCGCGATGTCCCGGCCCGGCCCGGGGAGCCCCGCTTCATGGCCGTGGGCTACATGGACGACACGCAGTTCGGGCGGTTCGACAGCGACTCCCCGGGGCCAGAGCGCGGAGCCGCGGGCGCCCTGGGCGGGGCAGGTGGGGCAGGAGGAGTGGGACGAGGAGACGCAGATGCTAAGGGAGCGCACACTGTGGTTCCGAGCGCAGCTGGACGCCCTGTGCGGCCTCTACAACCAGAGCGAGACCGGTGAGCTGGCGCGGGGCCGGGCCGGGTCAGCACCCCCATCCCCACGGACGGGGGTCGCTCAGGGTCTCCCCCTCCAGGCTTCTCAGCAACCTGCCCGGGAACAGCCCGCAGGACTTTCACCCATTTCATTCTGTTTAGTTTATTCCCTGGCGGGAGCGGGTGTGATCGGGGTGACCGCGCGGGGTGACACGGGCGGGGACAGGGTCTCACACCTTCCAGGAGAAGTTTGGCTGCGACGTGGGGCCAGACGGGCGCCTCCTTGGCGGGTATGATCAGTTCGCCTATGATGGCGCCGATTACCTGGCCCTGAACGAGGACCTGCGCTCCTGGACCGCGGCGGACATGGCCGCTCAGATCACCCGGCGCGAGTGGGAGGCCCTGGGTGAGGCAGAGGAATTCAGGAAGTTTGTGGAGGGCAGGTGCTTGAGGTGGCTGCGCAGATTCCTGGAGCACGGGAAGGAGACTCTGCAGCGCACGGGTAAGAGGGGCCTGGAGGCCTCCCGGTGCCCCCCTGCCTGGAGTCACTGTGGGAAATGAGTCCTCTCTCTAGTCCCGAGAGGGGGACTCCCCTGGGTTTCATGTTCTGCACTAGAGAGACTCCCAGAGACTCCGGCTTCTCCTGAAGGACAGTGAAGGGATCCCGTCTCTCCTGAGAAAGACAGACAGTCCCTGACATCACACGTCACCGGGTCCTTTTGACCAGGGGCCTGTTTGAGAACCACCAGTTTCTCTCTCAGTCTTGTTTCTGGTCTGAGAACATTGTCAGTTATGTGATTCCTGCTTTTCTGTGTCATTCACCTTCCACCCAGGTCAGGAATAAAAAGTCTGTGTTCCACTCCCTCTGCTTCATCCTACCCTGGGTTTTCCTCCTCATTCTAAAACTTTCTGAGGAATAGGAGAATCTCACAGATTCCCCAGATTAGCCTGTTTTTTACAGTTTATGCTTCCAGCTGTTACAGGGCAAACCCTGATATAAAATGGGGTTTCCTGACTGTGGGTCCTCACCTGTGTGCTTAAAGAGGACTTATGAATGCTAAACTACAGACACACACAAAAGATTGATGAAAGGTTTACTTACACAGGAAGGGGAATGGGAAATGAATAACTCAGGGAGAAAAAGATGGAGATAAGTTCGTAAATGCATCCTACCCGTTCCGCTGACCTGGAATCCCAGTGACCCACAGAGGTGGCGAAAACCTAGCACGCCTCGTGGTTGCCAACCCAGAGACTCCTGGCCACATGACCGGTTAAATACCCAAATGGAGAGCCTAGTTGCTTAACTCCACCCTCAGGTCCTTGCAACCTTCCCTTTGGTGATCATGGAATTTGTAGTTCCCAGTGTTGTGGGGGTGGAGTCCGCAAAGCCTGTATGGAGTTTGCTCAGGACATCCTTCACCCCTGTCATTCCTGCCACACCAATTGTCTTGTCCCTTGTGAGGATGGTCTCATGAGGATTCCTCAGTGTCCATGGAGGAAACACAAAGGGAGTTTTCTGATTTACCACCTCAGATCCCCCAAGGACACATGTGACCCACCACCCCACCTCTGAGCATGAGGTCACCCTGAGGTGCTGGGCCCTGGGCTTCTACCCTGCGGACATCACCCTGACCTGGCAGCGAGATGGGGAGGACCTGACCCAGGAGATGGAGCTGGTGGACACCAGGCCTGGGGAAGATGGAACCTTCCAGAAGTGGGCGGCGGTGGTGGTACCTTCTGGAGAGGAGCAGAGATACACATGCCACGTGCAGCATGAGGGGCTGCTGGAGCCCCAAGTCCTGAGATGGGGTGAGGAGGAGGATGTGGGCACTGAGGCTGTTCTCAGGGCCATCAGGAGCCCTTCTGGAGCCCTTCAGAGGGTCAGGATAAGGTCTGGAGCTCAGGGTATGATCTTCCCTTCCCTTCCAGTGCCCCCTCCTCAGTCCTCCATCCCCACCATGGGCATCATTGCTAGCCTGGTTCTCCTTGGAGCTGTGCTCACTGGAGCTGCGGTGACTGCAGCTGTGATGTGGAGGAAGAAGCACTCAGGTAGGGAAGGGAGTGGGAGATCTTGTCTACTGAGGGCTTTCACATCCCAGGGAGAACTTGCCCTGCCTATTTAATGGGAAGTACCATCCACACACACGTGTGTTGCCCAGAGGGCATTTGGTCCTGTCCCCCCTCACCTCCTTTCTTCATTTTTCCCAGTCCTGACCTGGGTCTTTAGTCACAGTTCTGGAAACTCCCCTGTTGTGCAGGATTAAAAGATTCCTTTAGGTCTTCTGACCTGATTGTTCCCTGGTCTCCCATGATGTTTCTTCCCACAGGGAGACAAGGAGGAAGCTACACTCAGGCTGCAGGTAAGTGTGGATCAGGGGTTTGATCCCTGAGCCCTGGGGACAGTGTAAATGGACTCTATGGGGAAGTCACCCTCATCAGTCCCTCCTGTGGTCTCATCTCTGACCAGGTTCTGTTTTGTTCTCAACCAGGCAGCGACTGTGCCCAGGGCTCTGATGTGTCTCTCAGCCCCTAAAGATCTTTTACAATGAACCTGATGAGGCTCCTGTTGTGCACACCCTGGACAGCAGTGTGATGGTGTCACTGTTGTTCTTAACTGTGATATTGAGCATTTGTTCATATTTTATTTTTCTTTGTCTACATAAGTTGCTATGTCTATAAATAATAATAAATAAAAAGATCTATTTATTCGTGCATACAAGAACCAGGGTACAGGCCAGATGCACAGGAGGTGAGAAGATTTACCAGAGATGTAGCGGGGAACAGAACAGGCAGACTGATGAAATACACTGCTGAGTGGAGCAGCGGGTGAGACAGGAGAGGTCTGCCACGCCATGTGGGATTCTCGCCCGCTGGATGGGATCGAACCTGCACTGCAGAGGCTGCGGACAGCTTCACAGTGCTGTGCTCAACTACCAGCGCCACCAGGGGTGGCCTGGAAGTCAATTTTTTTTTTTTTTTGCTATATTTATAACTGTTTTTTGTCCTTATTAAAATTGGATTATTTCTTGCTATTCATTGAGTTTTAAGCATTATTTGTAAATTCTTGATACAGTCCTTTATCAGTTTCATGATATGCAAATGTTTCCCCCATTCTATGACCTGAACTCTTTTACTGTCGGGAAAACAAGCATTATTGTGCAGACAGAAGCATGGATATATTTTTTTAGAAAAGAAAAGATAAATTGCTAATTGGTTTTGAGCAGATACTGGCTGACAGGGATGAAGGGGGATGGAAGGGAATGACTTATGCGTATCCTTGAGTGTTATTTCAATGTCCTTGCATGCACATGAAATATGCTTTCAAAAATAAATTACACTTCATTCCTCAATTTATAAAACTCTTCACACATCATGTCCAAATCACGTGTTAAGATCAGACTGGCACGTGGGTTATAAGTGATGGACCCGCACATCATAGTCGCACAGTCATGATTTCTCTCAGGGGTCACTCTGGTGTTGTCCATTCTGTGGGTGTTGGACAAATGTGTAATGACCTGTGTCTATCATGAGAATATCATGCAGAGTATTTTCACTGCCCCTAATGTCTTCTGTGCTCCAAGGAAGCAAATGCAAAAAGAAACCACTGGAATCACATGAAACTAAAAAACTTCTATATTTTGAGGGAAACGCATTAAAATGAAAAGACAATATCAAGTTGGAGAAAATATTTGCACATCATCAATCCAAAAAGGAGTTACTATCCCAGATCTGCAAAGAACTGCAAAACAAGAAAACAACTCAATAAAAACAGGGCAGAGGAACTAAATAGATACTTTTGTAAAGAAGACATACAGATGGCCAATAAGTACATGGATAAATGTCACGTGCTGTCAGGAAAATGCCAATTAAAACCACAATGAGTTACTACCTTTCACCTGTGAGAGTGACCCACTGAAGGGTGTGGAGGAAAAGGAACTCTCTCTGGTACATGGTGGGTGGGAATGAAGTCTGGTCCTGTTAGTGGGCAGAATGAGGGTTTCCCAGGACCCTCAAACCTGTACACTCTACATGGGATTTGCCATCATCTGAATAAAGACAAAACATACTCTAAAGCGTAAGACCTTCAATAGAAAAGAACTTTAATACAATTAGTGTGCAATAGAGAATTAGTGTGCAATAGGGAGAAGAGAAAGAATATAGTTAGAATAGTTCGCAAGTGAAGCACCCAAAGCTACCAGTCCCCTCATTGGTAAATGCCCAGCAAAACAGGGTTGGCCCAAAACAGGCCCATTGGGGCCCGAACGCCTGCCACATGGCTAAGGCACCTACTGGTAGAGACCCATGGGACAGGGGCAGGAGGGGCCAGGCAAGTCTGGAAGGAAAAGAGCAAAGTCAAAATCCACAACAAGATAACAGCGGCCATTGTCAGCCTCCCCTTGAGTCTCTCATGCACGTCTTTGTCTCTTTCATGTGTCTCTTTCCATGTCCCCAACTCCCTGGCACAAGTCCAAGCCTGAGGAGCAAGAGTGGCTTCTTCTTTGAATGTCTCTGTGCTCCATGCGCCTCCTCCAGTCTCCTCTCCCCATCTTGCTCCACGTCTTCCTCCTCTTCCTTAGCTTCTCATGCCTGCTCAGCCCCACATTTCCTTGGGTGGGGCGGTAACCTGGAACCTCTATTTTCTATGGATAGCACATCGGTCCTGCCCCTATGGAAAACAAATGAAGGTTCCTCCAAATATTCAAAATACACCTGTCCCATGGTCAAGCATTCCATTCCTTGGTATTTATCCAAAGAACGTAAAATGCTAATTCCAAGGAATATGCACCTCCTGTGGTCACTGCAGCACTGTCTACCATGATCAAGCTATGGACACAACCTAAGTGCCCAACGGTAGGTGAGGGATAAAGAACACAAACTATATACACAATGGAATACTACTCAGCCATGATAAAGAAAAATACTGACTTTGCAACAAGAATAGATATGGATGGGATTATGCTAAGTGAAATAAGTTTGAAGGAGAAAGTTAAATACTGGATGATTTCATTCATATGTGGAATATAAAGAAACAAAGCAGGCACAGGTGAAACGAACCCAAAACAAACTCTAGAAATATGACTGTGGAATTGAAAGTATGGGGTGGGGGTAAGAGCAGGAAACAAGGTAGGGAGAGGGCCCAGGGGACTATGGTGAAGACTGTGGGTGCCCTTATGGTAGGCGTGATGTGGTAACAAACATCTGAAGAGGGGTGACCCTGGGCCTCTGAACACATACAGTGTGTAAAGCAATGTTACCTCTACTGAATAATACAATGAGGGGAAAAAGAAACAAAAAAAGCAAATTGTGTCCTCCATCCATCACTGACCTCAGGACTTGGCTTTCACCTCCTCACTGTCATGCACAGTGAGGGGCTGGTTTCCCACAAGGTCAGAGACAGGAGGTGCAGGGACTCCTGGGGCTGCTCAGACACTGCTGAGTAGAGACACTGCAGAGAGGGCGGCTCTGAGAGGAACCAGAGACAGAGGGTCAGAGTAACCCCAGTGCTGAGTGAAGATCTGGTTCCCAATTAACTTCAAGCCCCAGAATAAATGAATTCAAATCGCACACAGAGTAAAGAGTGTCAGAACTACACCTCAGTAAATGCGGTTCCATGGAGAAGCAGTTTCTAAGCAGGACTGAAAAGGCATTGGACCTGAAGAGGCTGAGGTTTAGAAATATCTCATGGTTGGCTTGAGGTGTAAGGAGCTGGGCAGGACCCCTGCTCCAGGCCCCTGCTAGGATGTGGTGGTAACTTCACCCCTGACAGCTCCCTCCCCCAGTCGCCAATGTTCATCTTCAATCCCCTACGTTCATCTTCTTTGGAGTCACCATAGAAAACCCACGGGCCTCAAAATGAGGTTGTTCCATGAGCTTCAGCTACTTTCTCTCTAGACCAGAGCTGGAGGGAGCCACACAGGGGGAGGAAGGAGTGTGTGTCCTGCTGACCTGGCCCAGGGTCAGGATTAGCCCAGGTCACCCCAGTTCCTGAGCTGAGCCTTTGTCCACAGTCCAGGAAGGGAGGGAGATGGAGCAGAGTCTGTTGTGTCGGGCAACACCACACTGATAAACGGGCGTCGTGGAGCAGGCTACATGATGCAGGATGCTGCTGAAGAGGAAGATCCGGGCCGTTTTTATTGCTAGAATAATCATAGAGTGTCAGTTACGTGGGGTAGGAGGACAAGGAGGAGGATGGGTGAAATAAGGAACGTCATCTTGGGCTTCAGGGGGACAGGAGTCTGCTGACCAGATAATTCTTATCTGCTTGATGATCACGTGTTGGAATTGAAACGAGACCCCAGACCCTGGACCATGGGCCTAATCTTATCAACAAGGCGGTCCCCTGGTCAGCTTCTGGGCTCCCTTGTCCCACCTCGTGATGCATCGCCTTCCCAGGGTGATCAAGCTTTCTCTCTTGAAAGATTTGAAAGGCACCTTGTAAGGTCTGGCTCCCGTGACTGAGTGACCGGGAATGCAGAACTGCAGGTCACACAAATGGCAGCTGAACAGGCTGCTCAAGTTTAGCGGACCCACCAGGGTCTCCCTCAGCTCCTAGGGAAGATGTAATGTTAGAGGACGAACTGACGTTTCTTTCTCATTCTGGGGCTCTCCCGTCTCCCCAGCATAACCCTCCACGTGCAGCAGGGAGAGGATGTCAGGTCAAACCAGGCTGCTTCCCCCACGCCTCTCCCCACTAGTGTTCAGGATGCATCTGCTTGTCCGCATGGCCACGCTGGAGGAGAGCACGGAAAGGTAAGCACCATTATGATATTTGCTACTGGGATTGGAGGTAAGGCTTTTTTTTTTACTATAAAATTTCTTTTATTTGGGTTGTTGCTGTAACAAGGCTGTGCAATTAGAAAAACACCTGGGAGAAGGAGAAAGTGTTGAACTGAGAAAGTCAACAATGAAAATAAGAGAAACATTTGCATGAATTGTTCAGTTTAACGCACGACACCCTGTGAGTTGTCAGATACCATGATCCCAGCGTAACTAGTGACTGTGGGGAGTGAGACTCAGAAGCGCAGCCCAGGCCACACATTGGGCGACCCAGGGTTCTGACCACCCAGGCCCCCCTGCTGTGGCAGCTGCAGTGAGGAAGGGTCTCAGAGCTGAGGGGGCTGAGGCCTCAGTGTGGTCACATCCACTGGAAACATCCAGAGTGAGGGTTGGGTCCTCTTAGTGACGGGCGCCTACTACCTGCCCAGCCAGCCCTTCTATTGACAAGTCAAATTAAAAATAATTCCTCCTGATGGTGCTCTGGTGCTGGAGGCAGGTGGGGTGGGGGGAAAAGTGGAGGTGATGCCAGGCCCTGTGAGCCCTCCCTGCTGGTGTGGGGAGCAGAGAAGGCAGGTGAGGGTCCATGTTGAGAAAGGCCTGGGGTGCCATGGGGAGCAGAGACTGGAGAGGGTAAGAGTGTGCAGGGCAGGGAGGAGGCTCCTGCGGTCTGACCAGGGCAGGTGTGGTCACCTCCTCCCTGAGCGTCTCCTCTGCCCTCCCTTGTTCACCTTCCTCACCCACCTTGCAGGACAGTCATGGCCTTGGGGTCCCTACTGGACCCCCCTGGAAGAAGTGACCTGCAGCATCTGCCTGGAGACAGGAGGCCCCTGGGAGCACCTCCTGCGGCCACAGCTTCTGCCAGGCCTGCTCTCAGCTGAGTGACTCTCTGACCCGCCGAGGTCACTGTGTGCTCTCCACGCTGCCAGGAGCCACCACAAGAGGGAACAGCAGGTTCAGTTTTATTCTGGTCAGTTTGTCCTCTGGGAGCAGACTTGCCCAGGGGTCATTTTCCTGATTCTACATTTAATGTGGACCCCTGCAGCCTGGTGCAAGCGGTGGGGTATGACCAGCTTTGCTGAGGCCCACTTCAGTAGCAAGCCTTGACAGAAGCCATGGGGAGAGAGGCCCATGGCATTCTAGGCCCAAACTCAGCATGCGGGCTGTGGGCCTCCCTGAGCTCTAGCAGCGTTGGCCTGGGCTGTGCTGTGGCAGGTGGGAGACCGGCCTGGTGGGCTGTGATAGAGGGGTGCCTGCTCTGGATGCTCAGGTGAGCATTGGCCCTGCTGAAGCCCACTCCCACTGTGATCCCTGATGCTGGGGGGAGAGGGGACCTTACTGCGTGCAGCCTACGGGCCTGTTTTATGCCCTGAGTGACAGCGGCCTGCACTCCCGGGTGAGACTATCTGACCTCAGGCATCTGGACATACTGGCAGGTGTTTCATTTGGGAACACAGTGCCAGATTGTAATGGAACAATCAGATTCAAGCTCTCACAGCTGTCATTCAAGATTTTTTTTGTTTTGTTTTGTTTGTTTTAAAAGAGATTTTTATTTTTACTTACGTATGCACACAAAAACTGGGGTTTAGGCCAGAGGTGTCGGGGGTAGGAGGATTCACCAGAGTCAGAGTAGGGAGCAGAACAGGTGGATCTACTGAAATACATTGCTAAGGGGAGCAGCGGGCTAGACAGGAGAGGCCTGCTGTGCCACGTGGGTTGGCTCCCTGGCCAGGGATCAACTCATGTTGTAGTGGCTGGCAATAGCTTGATTGTGCTGTGTCTTTAACCCCTGTGCCACCGGAGAGCCGCCCACCATTCAAGGTTTTTGAGACCATCCAGGCCTCTAAATGGACCAATCTGATTGGCGCTCCACTGGCACCAACCAAACGGCTGGGATTATAAAGGGGCCAATCAAGCTTGAAAGGTGGCACCCTGAAGAGGATACAAGCCAGAGCAGCAGCCAGCCTGAGCCACTTGATAGACAGCTACTGGTCAGATTTGTTGGTGCTCCTGGAAAGATCTTTGCCAAGACCTCTGCAGAGTGTGAGACCTTTGCTGAGTCCTGATGGCTACACCTGCCTCTGGCCCTGGCTCTAACACCGCCTGCAGAGAACATCGTCAGGCTGTCCCTGGTGTTTCTAAAGGAGCTGTTTGCTGGTGGCTTATGCCCAGCCTCTCTAAGGCTGTTTGCTACTGGTACAATGGCATCTTTATCAGATGTAAACTGGCATCTCTGACACCATTGCCTGCTCGACCAGTGCTGACCAGCACTGCTGACCTGTATCTGGCCTCCTCTGAGAGCTGTCCACCTCTTCTCATCCTTGGGCACCATCTCCTGGTGCTGTTGCATCTGGCAGTTTTCAGTCCAGGGTCTGGTGCTGTCCGCCTGGCCTTTGGACATCTGTTGCTGGCTGCTGCAGCATCACCTGAGCAGCCCCACCTGGGATCACCTCCAGCTGCCACCGGGAGTTGGCGCCTGGT